CTTTCTAAGTGTAGTCACCATCTACAACTTCTGCTCGTTCATGGGCCACTGGTATCCTAGAGTCGTGTTAGTCTTTGTGCTCAATGTTCTGCAGAGGTGAGGTCCTACCTGCTGCGTCGCTGAACTTGTATCCGTAAGAAGAAGTGAAGTCATCCAATACGGCAGGACCGCGGGAGCCTGATAAAAGTTAGCCAGTGTTCGCATATGTTCTCGGCCTCTACGAACCATATGGGTACTCCATAGGAATGATCTCCTTGTTGTCGTCAAGGTAGTGGAGAAGAGGTGTGAAGATCCTCCAGCTAGCGTCGAGCTCGTCGTCACGAACGAAGTTGGAGTGGTCGCCCTTCAGCGCATCGAGAATGAGCGACTCGTATGCCTCGGGGATCTTCAGGTCGGAGAATCGCCGTCTGTAGGTAAGGTCGAGTTCTGTGACGACAGTCTGCATGCTGAGACCGGGCAGCTTGGAGTTCATCTTAATGTAAACACTCTCGTTGGGCTGCACACGGATGACGAGCTCGTTTCGCGGGATGTCCTTGAAGATGCCAGAGGTGACATCCTTGAACTGGATGCGGACCTCCGTCTTCTGCTCGTTCAGGGCCTTTCCTGCCTTCAGGATGAAGGGCACGCCGTCCCATCGCTCGTTCTTGATGTAGGCAACCATGGACGCGAAAGTGGGGCATCGCGAGTCCTTGGGGACTGTGTCGTCCTCCTTGTAGCCTGGCTTTTGGCCGTCCAGTGACTTTCCGTACTGTCCGATTATAACGTTCTTGGGCTCGATCGAGGCCATACCACGGAGGACACGGACCTTTTCGTCGCGGATGTCTTCGGCCGAGAAGGAGATGGGGCGCTCCATAGCGAGGAGGGTAAGAACTTGGAGCAAATCTGCAATCGTTAGTCAATCCTCATTCCAACCACCAGTCTTCGCTTACGGTTCTGCATAACATCACGGATGATGCCAAACTCGTCAAAGTAACCTCCACGGCCTTCGGTTCCGAAAGGCTCCTTGAAGGTGATCTGAACGTTGTCGATGTGGTTCCTGTTCCATGTAGCGCCGAAGAACTCGTTACCGAATCGGAGAATGAGGATGTTCTTGACCATCTCCTTACCCAGGTAGTGGTCAATTCGGTAAAGCTCATCTTCGGTCCAGTCGGGAGCCAACGCCTTCTGCAGCTCTCTTGAACTTGGGAGGTCCTTGCCGAATGGCTTCTCGACCTGTGCGACAGCGGTTAGCTGCATGTATCCGGAAAGCTGCACAAGAGCGACTTACGATGACGCGAGAAATGCCGTTCTTGGGGTAGCAGTTGCGCTTCAGGTGCTGGGAGACTGTGATGAAGACGCTGGGAGGGAGAGCCATGTAGAATATCCTGTTGTTCTCCTTGCGGCCCTTCTCGATCTCCTGCATGTGCTTCTCAAGTCCGACGAAGGATTCGTCCTGGTCGTATTGGCCAGAGACGTACGAGCAGAACTCGCAGAATTCGTCCAACTGCTTCTCCAGTTCTTTTGTGGGGGTCTTGATGTACGACTTGACGCGCTTGAGGTACTCCTCGCGGTCCATCTTTGTGCGTGCATATCCGACGATGTGGATGTTCTTTGGGAGGAAGTTGTTTCGGTGCTGTGCTGGTGGTCAGAGAATGCGCATGTCGATATGTATCGTGCAACCTACGAGGCCGAAGAGGGCTGGGAACTGGTATGATGTTAGTCTGATGTTTGCTCGCATGCTTGCTTCTTTACGTACGGTCTTTTTCTTCGCTAGGTCACCGGAGGCGCCCAAAACAACGATGATGGTGTTGTCCTTGAGCTCCATGTTTCTATCGCGAGATCTGGTTAGCTGGGGTGCTCAAAATGCTAAAAGGCTCGATCGGTTTCGCGCATCGACCAACCCCTCCGCCGAAGAGCGCGAGGCGCTTGAGCAGAAAACAACGGCCGGATAAATTGATGACATATTCAGACGGCTCGTAAAAGGCTGTATAAGATCGATCAGGGGCGGTGAGGGCGACCTACCCGGCATTGACCTCCTCATGCTTGGGCTGGATAACTGTGTCCGCCATTGTGTTGATGTGTGATGTAAACGCTTTGGGGGAGGAGCGGGCGCAAGGTTACAGCTCAATTAAGGGCTGCAGTGGGTGAGGGCAATAGGGTAACACAAGAGATCTCGAAGTAAGGGCGGAAGCTACGGATAGGACGTGGATGTGTGAGGAAAAGTCCTATGTAGTGGGGTTATCGGAGCTGCTCTAGCGGTTTCGCGTGGTGGTGACGTTGGTTAGCTTTAATTTGCCGCTCGAACGCCGGTGATAGGGTCTCAGACAGGAATGCTTCACAGAAACACACGGCGCGGACTGACGTCTTTAAAAAGGCATCGATAAACAACTAGGTCATTTCTCAAGCATCACTAAGCGGCCGCACGTCTTGCAAAGCTTCTCCGGCACCAGTCAAAACCCTTGAAGCCCGCCGGAGGAGACCTTGCTAAAGCCGTACCTAGGGATTCGCGGACAACCCCACCATCGCCATGCATTGCGCGTGGAACGGCTTCGTCCACGCTCGGCTGGGAAGGGATAGACTTTGAGGCTCTTAAACTTTGTTTCTCATTCTATAAGTGTGTCCCAAGACTGTGGTCGCGTCTCACAACCGTCACAGCGCGCGAGGCACGCCCAGCTCGTGGACGGCTACCCCGCTGCGAGGTTGCCCGAGTCCGGACGATGTGTAAATTCTATTAGAGTGTACACAAGCATTGGCCGTCTCAGTGTCGCGGGCTGGTACTTGGGTCTGTCAAATCCTCCGGCCCCTCTTTGAGTATACCGAGCGGCCAGCACTGGTAAGCTAGCAGCCTGGTGGGGCGCGTCGCAATGGAAGACTTGCAGCCATGTTGGCGTGCTGGCTTCCCAACAATGGACTGTACGTGACGTGTGAGCGCGGGAGACGTGATGGCGACGTGAGAATTTTGCCGTTGGCTATTTGGGTTCTCCCAGGCCGTGACATGATGAGTGAACCACACCTGGCCTGGCCGGACCGATGACGCATGGTCCTCAGGGCGACGTGCGACACGCGAAGGCTGGTCAGTCAGACGATGGAACATGCCCAGGCGGATTGCTAGACTGATAGTGAACCGCCATGCTTACACATCCGCTGCAAGAGAAAGCCCGAACGAGCAAGAGGGGGCTGGGACGAGCATAAGCGTTGCCGCGGAACGTCGGGAGGAGTTGTGCCTTCATCAATGACCCTACATACTGAAAACGTGAATTCGAGCGCGTCTGTTCCAAAGGTATTGCCAGTCGTCTGACTACCTCTATTGTCAAGGAATGGTGATGCGAGTGCGGAAGTGCAGACACATCCATACTCGGACCTGCGTGCACCGCAGTGTCTTTGCTATCAATATCTCAATGTGCATCTAAGACACCCAATTGATACTTTCAGAAGACTCATTAATCCCAAAACCTACATTCCAAGATTGTAGTGTTGGTGTTCTTCGCGACTGCCTGCGGCGAGGCAACGGCAGCGTTACGCCACACAAGGTGTGGCTGGTGTGGCGCTAGTAAGCGAGAACGCCCCACTGGACATGAAGCAATTCGTCTTTCTCTTTGGCAACGACGACTTCTCTGTACTAACGACAGCATCAACCCCGACCCAGACGTCCCCTTCACCCCCCCGAGGCCGCCCAAAAAATTCGCCATGTCTGCCGACAACAAGTCCCACCGCCTTTACGTCAAGGGCAAGCACATCAGCTACCAGCGCGGCAAGGTTTGTGCGCACCGAATTCGCGTATTGACGCTCCCCCTTCTGACGATGAACCGCAGAGGAACACCAACCCCGGAACCTCTCTGCTCAAGCTTGAGGGCGTCGACGATGTCAAGGCAGCTCAGTGGTGTACGTCTCCGCGCTCCGCGTGTCCCCCCCGACGCTCGAATTTTGATAGCTAACGTACCGACGACAGACGCTGGCAAGAGGGTAGCCTACGTCTACCGCGCACAACGGGCGATCCAAGGCTCCAAGATCCGTGTCATCTGGGTACGAATTCCCATCCCACCGCCCGTATTCCACCAAAAAAGACAAAAAAGCTAACCCAAACAACAGGGCAAGGTCACCCGCCCCCACGGCAACTCCGGCGTCGTCCGCGCCAAGTTCAAGAACAACCTGCCCCCCAAGTCCTTCGGTGCCTCCGTCCGCGTCATGCTGTACCCTTCTTCGATATAAGCTTCTCCGACACACGCATTTTTTGGCGAGAACGGGAATGAAAGCGGTCGAAAAATAAGGCAATGGTAGTTGATGGATCACCTCAGGCGCAATATTATACCGGGCACGGAAGTCAGATTCGAGAACAATTCAGTTATCTTTTGGGGAGACACACATGCACAGTCTTTCCCATACACAACGGCAACTTGTTCGGGCTGGGTGCGACGGTGTGAATGTTGATGTCCTGAAAGTCCATATAACAATGGCACTTTTCAATCAAGATTCCTGACAAGATCAATCATACATGTTCAAAGTCATTGGGTGCATTGGCGTGATGTCGTGGAGATGGGGTTGTCGCGACAGCTCGGAACGTACAACGATGTGCTGCTAACTGTGTAGGCTATCTTCCGTAACGCTGCTACAAGCACTACCCACCCATCGCGCGATCGCTATACCATTCGTCAACAACACCCTTAGTCGCATGACTACAGACGATGACGAAAGATACAACACCGCACAAGGCCAATCGATACCTGACTAGTCAGGGTCTACATAATCAAGCTCTCGAACACCACCTATTCTGGCATGTCAAGAGCAGCGACACGTCACGATAGCATAAGAAGAAGGCTTGGGTTTTATCCTATTGCACTACACCCTGGGTATCTACCATCATTCCTTCGTAACTTCGTAAGGCCAATTGACATGTATCGAGTCACCGCTCGAACACATGATGCTACTATGACCTCTATATCCTACATGTAATCGCTATCCTCTTGCCGTGAACTTGTGTACCCATGTCCTCCTTCTGCTGTCCGGTTGTCACTCTATCGTTTCTATGGTGGAGGGTAGAACGACGAGTAGGGACTCCGACCATCCCACCCTACTGGCGGCTGGCTCCATGGATCATCGCCCTGATCGGCATGCTGTGCTACGTTACTGGACTGACCTCCTGGTTGGGTGTCTGGTAGTGCATGCGGAACGACCAATTCTCCTGGCTGTGCGTCTTGTAGAGCGTCGTACTGGCCGGAATTATCTCGTCCTGGTTGCGTGGCTGGCAGATCTTCGTCTTGATTAACGTGAACTCCTAGTCCCGTGGCTGGCGGCTCATCCTGACTAGAAGGCTCTCCCGGTTGCGTGCCTGGTGAATCACCCTGACTAAGCCGCTCGCCTGGTTGAAAGTCTTTCAGATCTCCATCTTCTTCCTCTTCTTCCTCACTGTCCTTGCATTCTCCTGTCATCCTCCAGTTCGGACCAGAAACGTTAGATGCAAACGAATCATCAACACGCTGTGGCTGGGCTGACGGCGGCGGCGATTGCTGAGAACCCATCACACCCATTGCCGGTGGTGGAGGATCTGAGCGCGCAGGATCAATCCGAAAGCTCACGTTGGCGAGATCCGAGATGGAGATATCGTTGCGACGGTGAGCTCCAGACTCAGCACGGAGGGTAGCCAGGAAAGCTGGTCGAGCGAAAGGAGGACTGCTCTGCTTGGGCGTCGATTGGAACATGGGAAAAGACTGCGATACTGCCTGTGCATTGCTCATACCTCGCATCGACGCCATCGCATTCAAGCCGGCTGCAAACGCGCTCTTGTCTTTGAGCTTGGGTGCCGGCGAGTCCTTCTGTTTCGCCTTGTCACTAGCAACCGGCGTCGCTCCACCACCATCTTCATCATCTGACTCGTCTCCTTCAGCATCCAGTCCATCACCCTGCTCGCGGAAGGTGTGGTGGAAATTGAGACCGAAGATACCGGAATCTCGAGGCGCATCGTCTTCCTCCATGTGCTTCAGCCACTCCTCTGCTTGCTTGTAGTCGTCGTCGAGGTTGACTTCGTCGTCGGATACGACAGTGAACGTTCCCTGTTCAATAGCTGAGATAGCAGGTGGACTGACAAGGACGTTGGTGTTTACTCCGTTGTTTCGTGTGAAGAACGACGTGTCTGGTGCATGCGAGGTTTGAGGGAGCGGTTCACGAGATGAAAATTGGCGTTCCAGGTTTGCAATCGTTTTGTCTAGATCACTGTCCATCAACGAGCTAGTAGGTCGGGGCTCCTCCGCTGGTGGTGTACTGTGCTGATCTGAGTCGTGAATACTGGAAGGAAGATGTGGACGCTTTGCGGCCGGCATGGATGTGCCCGATACTTCATTGTCTGCATCGCGTTTACCTAGAGGTCGAGCCCTAGCACGAGCACGCTTGCGAGTCTCCAGCGTCTGAGAGAGGCGAGCACGATCAACATGCGGCGACAAAACCTGAAGCGACTTGATCGATTGCGAGGCCGACTTGTTCAACTGACCCTTCGCAGGCAGAATGGGTCGCTTGTCCACTTCCATTGCCTCATCGATTTCCTTTCCAGTTTTGAAGTTTGACCAGTGACCAGAGCGCTCATAGGACTCACTACCGTGTGGCATCGTGGGCAACATCTTCATACCGCCAAAATAAGTAGATAGAAACGCCCCAGCACTCTCGTAGTCGTGGGCAATCGCGGGTGCATGGAAGTTGAACTGGGCGCCCTTGCGAGTGACAGATGCCCAGGGAAGGAGGCCAGTGTGAGCAAGGACGACGCGCTGTATGACCCGGCTGAAGTCTGCTGGATCATATGGAGGGAAGTTTTGCGTATCAGAATAGGCCTCCGCTGTCAGACCTAGTTGCTTTGCAAAGTCCGACAACAAGGACAGGGTAATGTAATGACCCTCTAGCTTGGGCTCTCCGCGTACCTCCACCCAGTCATGACAATCTGTATCGCCCTCATCGATGCAGGCGACAAGGCGACCAGGAGTTGCCAGGCGATGTAGTTGGGTAAGGTTGAACATTCGTGAGGGCAGGTGATACCAAACCTTGTGCATCTCTTCGATGTTTGGAGTAGGCTGGGTCTTGATCTCCTCACTCGTCAAACGCGCGAATGTGGCGTTTAGGGCACCCGGCATGGTACCTAGACCCGCAAGAGCACCTCGAAGCTTCTTGATATCTGCGAACACAATGACTCCGTGCTGGGGTGCGACGAGGCGCTCGTACTCCTCAACAATCGCGTGACGCCACTCTGGGTAGGCTTCGCAACAGCTCGCTAGCCAGTGCAGGAAGCAACGCTCTTCGAAGCCACCCTCGACCTGTGTCAATGGCACTGTTCGCTTGACTGCGAAGGTCTGCCAGGATTCTTCCACCTCGCCGGCAAGTTGTTGGATTTTGGTGCACACGTCCCGCGGCGGCAGGTCCCATTGATTGTGGTAGAGTTTCGTTGCCAGGCCGTCTAGGTATGGATGTCCCAGAGTCAATATCACATGCTGCTCTTCGCCGATCTTTGGAAATGGATGCAGGAGCGACCAGTCATGCTCCATCTTTTTGATCATATCAGAGCGGCATAGCCCTACCTCACGGCGGGTCGCATTGTGGATCTGAGCGTTTCGAGCAGAATGCCAGTCGTCTCGCTTCTTTTGCACCAAGTTGAGCATCTTCTTGCCCTTCTCAGACTCCCGCGATTTGCCTTTCGGTCCGAAGAAGTCGGCGACGACGCGCTCCATGAGAGCGGATTCTTGGCGAGCAACCTCGGTCTTCTTCGCCATGAAGGCTTCGCCGAAGGCATCTCTCGGTGGTGCCTTCCGCAGTTGCCAGATATCGCAGCAGCTCTCGACAATCTCCATCGCGGCGCGACCGTCCTCGATCATCTTCTCCAGAGGTTCAGGCATGCCAGCAGGAAACGACGTTGCCCTTGTATAGTCGACTAAGAGCACTGCTTCGGGCTTGTAGTCCCCTAGGCGAAGTAAGACACCCTCTTTGGTGACGTTTCCGTGAACGATCTTGTGGAAATGCAAGAAGGCGAGGGCTGAGAACAGTCGTCGCAGGAGCTTCGAGGCGACTGTGAAGCGCACGCGCGGATGTTGCTTCTTGATGTCCTCTTCGAGAGTCGCGTATGTCTTGAAGCCCTCATGCGTCTCGGTAATGACGGCGGGGATGTGGTTGATGTCGAGTGACTGCAAGTAACGAACGACAGATACATCGACTTTCGCCTTGCCGAACTTGAGAAACTCAGCATCCCGAAGTTCGCGGCGGTTTCCCGCACGGCGGAAGAATTTCGCTGTCTCGATCTTGCCTGTGAAGCGCTCGAGAACCCGGCAGGTGTTCGCGGAAACTTGTTCAGGGAGCGGCAGATAGCGATTCCGTGCCCAAGCTTCGGGGCGATTAGTGACATCTTGTAGCTGGGGATGCAGCTCTGAAGGCAAGAATGCATCCATCGCGTAGAGTTCTCGTACCGCCTTTAACATGAAGATGTCGACTCGCAAGCCGTTGACGAAGACGTGGTTGACTAAGTTCTGCCGCAGATAGATGGCTTGTGGAAACTGGTTTTGTGCATGCGGATCGCTGAATTGAATGGGCGCACCGTTCACCTCCGTGATAGTCTCAGAAGCGGACTGCAATCGCCAGCTGCCGTTCTTCCAGACTGGTACGATTCCGAACAGAAGCAGGCTGGCCCCATCGTCAGGGAGGTACACATCGCAAGCCGGAGGCTGCGGGCTCTCGAGTTTGGACAGGCCTATGGTGTAGCAGGGTTGACCTTGGACGAGATGAAGAAAGACATGGCAGCCGTCTAAGGACCACTCGCCGCCGGCTCGTGGAGACCTCAAACGCGACTTCCTATAGGCTGTGTTGTGGTTTGCGTGGAAAGCTTTGGGGTCGTGAACTGTGATGATTCCGACGACGCTATCTGGAGAGAGCCCGTCCGGGATAGGAGGATGGCGCGCGTCAATAGGCTCGTCTTCTTGCATTTCTGACATGTTCGCAATTGGTGTATATAGCCAGAAAGGGCGCCAGGTGTGTGTGGCGGGGGACGGTTGGCGCACGGCTTATAAGGCACAGTGGTTGTCGTGTACGGTGTAGTGAAGCGCCAGAACTGAGGGCTGTAGCTCGTCGAGAGTCCGTTCAGTATTGCCCCTGTGTGCGGGGTCAGCACGAACGGCTACGCCCTCGTGGGAGTCTTTTGGTCACTAGATAAAGCCTGCGTCAGGTTTGTTCGACTATACCACTCTGTGCATGCACCAGCGACAGTGACTCACGTCGAGAGTCCGCGGGATATTGCCTAAGTGAGCGGGGTCGGCACGACAACTCAACCCTCGAGTGAGCCTGCTGATCAACAGGCAGGCGTAGGTCGGACTTGTTATCCTATACCACTCTGTACGTGCACCGGCGACAGTGACCCTTACCGACAGCGGATAGATCAACAGGTCTATTCCCTCACGTATGGTTGCGAACGGACCTCAGCCATGACCAGGTGTCTGGAAGTCCAGAACGCCGACGTAATTCACCTCTGGAACTTAGTCCCAGCTGCAGTGAAATGATCAAACCAGTCTCTCCTTTCCGGGAAGCCGTACAGGCCTAGCAGACTGGGTTTGCCTGGCTGGGCTTTGTTGTTGATTGTGATGATGTATCTAGTGATCAGTCAGCTCAGCAACGTCATGGGTAGACACCAGACTTACACGACTGAGCCCCTTGCTATCTGGTCGAGCATGGTAGCCTTCTGAAACTGGTATGCGTCTGTGGGAAGGGACAGATCCATGTCGGCGACCGCGATAGGTGGGTCCGTTATGAGAACCTCATCCCCTTTGCTCTTCTTAGCTTTACCCCATATGAAGTAGTTGTCGAGCAACATGGCGTGTACTGGAACCCAAGGTCCCTGGCTCTTGAACTTCATTGCCATACCGCCTTGGTGAATGACGCGACGGGCCGGCTCGTGCAGACGCAGTTGCGCAAATGTAAGCGCATCTGTTCGGATACGCCTCTGAAGATTCTGCACATCTTCACGAGCCTGAGCTTCATCTAGTAAGGTTGTGATGGATGTTTTCAGCCAAGTGACGGCCTGTAGAGCACGTCGTAAACGCATAGCCTCCTGGTTTGCTGTCGGGTCATTGAGGGAGTCCGCGATGCTGACAAGCCTCTGCAGACTGTCGATGTAACTCTGCATCTGTACCTGGGGAAGCTCCAGATAGTCTTGCCAGCTCTTGCCGAAGTAAGCGATACTCAGACCAAGTGTGTTGACAAAAGGTGTAAACTTCGGGTCCAAGTTCTGTGTCGTTCGTAGTGAGGAGGCCGCATGCGGCATCTTGCGGCAGTATTCTCGATACAGTTGTTGACTCTTGTCTGCCCAAATATCAATCATGTATGGATTGCAGAGGGCGTTAGTACTGCCAGCGAGATCACGGTCCATCGCCTGGAGCAGATACTGCTGATGAAGTGTCGCAAGTTGCTCGCCGATAAGGATAGCATCCATATGCTTCTCAAGGACTGGCCATTGCTTTATGATGTTATCGTAGAACATTCGCTTCAGTCTCATTATGCGGTCAATAAACTTCCTCTCGGCTTCGGCCAGCGACATCCAGATACTGTGCATTTCGACATTGTACAAGGGCAACGATGCCCCAGCTGCTGCAACTTCGTCCATACCACGCGTGGTGTTACCTTGAGCGTTGTAAGATGGCTTATGCATTAAGGGCAGGGGCTTTCGCGAAGGTATGCCGGTCGAATTGGGGCTTAACGGTGGAGTTTCGTACACGGTGTAAGACGATCCCGTGGACGCTTTTGATAAAATCGATGGTGCGATGGAGGAAAACATGCTATCATCAGAAGATACTGAGCGCATCTGGGGCGTTGCGACATGCTGCTCACTTGGGCGGCGAGGAGGCAACGGAGGCGCAGCTTCTGGAACTCCCGTTCCGCTGTCTCCACTAAACGATCGCAGTGGCGCCGGAGTCAATGAGCCATAAGGATCATTCGGTAGCGAAGAGGGGCTCTTAGGCCCTGTGTGGTTGGGAGTCAAGCAAAGTGTCGTGGATGAGGTTTGCGGCATAAAGGAGAGTATGTCGCGCTCAAGGGTATCGAACAAATCTGCGTGTTCATTTGTCGTTGTGGCCTGAGGGGATGGTCCTCTCTCTGTTTCCGACTTCAGTACACTGGGAGGCGTCGTCTCGAGAGCGATCGAACTGTCTTCTGGTACCCCAGTTCCTGTTTCCTCAGACGCATCGATCTCGTGGCGTGAAGTAGACATGGCCATTGCCATAGCCCTACGATACGCTTTCGAGTTGACGACCTCATCATCGAACGTGAACTCCGTAGCTTTCGCGATGGACTCTACATCGGCCTCGCTGTCGTTCAGACTCTTCTGATCAAACAACGACTCCGGTACCTTCAGTCTCGGGTGCGACTGCCTTAGAGTCCTCGACCGCTTTACAACCTGATCGAGTGTCACACTGTTATCCTCAACCAGCTTCTTGATATCCGCAATTGACTCCATCTGCAATCCTTGTATCAGCAAACTGAGCGCTGACTGCTGGCCACGGATCTGGGTGAGCAGCTCTTTGAAGGTCTCTTCCTTGAACACAAACTTCGCTTTGTCTTTGAACTTCAGGTTGTCGTTCTCCGCCTTCACTCTCAAGTCCCGTACCTCCTCTTCTAGGCACCCGTATACGACTCGACATCCCGTAAGCGCACGATCGAAGGTCTCGAGCAGCTGGGGCTTCTCCCGTAGCGCGTCATGTTGGAGGAGGCTTTGGACTTGCGACAGAGACGCCGCAATGACCATGGACTCGGAGTATATCGCGGTAATGAGAACCGAGGCATCTTTGTACTTGAGGCGCAAGTCGTAAAGTTCTTTTGCAGACTGGATGCTCTGGGGCAGCGCGACGAGCTATGGGGGTAGTAGGTGCATTAGCTTGGTACCATAAACCTGGGAAGTTTCCCGGAGCCTGTTGACGCGCTTAGAAATGGCAGGAACATACAGCACCGATTATACCAGACATGTCCACGCGTGTCTAATGACACCAGGGTAAACAATCAACGCGCGCGAAAGAGAGGACGCAGCATTCCAAGCGATCGCAAATGGTGGGGGTCGAAAGAAGCGTGCTCCAGCTCAGAGCTCAGCTTAGGCATCCATGTTCGCGCCTGCCCAGAATACGGGGGCCCTCTGTGCACAGATCCCCCGCGGCCAGGACATCAATACGTCACGGCTACATTACAGTGTCTACTAGGTAGGCATTGGACTCAGGTCATGCGTTCAGGCAGAGCGCACATGATCACGCCGCCAGATTTTAGAGAAAGTCGGATTACTGACTTGCTGGCTCTTGCGTGTCTCCCGCTGAGCTCGATCATCCCAATAGTATAATACAAGGCAGCGGAGTCAACATAACACACGGCGCCAGCGAATGCCTGTCTACCAAAGGCGCGTTGAGAAGTAACAAAAAATTACCATCCCACCATCAGAATACCCATCAATCATGCTTTCCCTTTCCCATTTCGATCAAAATCCAGGGGTATGTCCAGCTAAAAATGCCAATAGTTCATGCGAAACGGAGGCTCAGAAATGCGAGGAGAAGTCGTAGTTGGTGGCTCTGCAGGATACTACCTTGCAAATACCTTCACTATGCCGTCGCCACCTGCTGAGACGACAAGGCGACCGTCCTGACTCCAAACTACGCTGCACACACCTTCGCCACGCATGATACGATGCGCGGTGATCTCCTGTGTGCAGATGCGCTTGTCAAGGGACCAAAAACGAATGGAAGCGTCGTGGCCAGCGGAGACGGCTTCCCGGCCGTCTTTGCTGAGCGACAACGAAGAAATAGCTGCAGGGTGTGCAAGCATACTGTATGTACATTGTCCTGTTCTTGATTAGCGAGGATGTATTTCCTGATATTGCAAAACGTACCTGAGTTGGCATCGAAGAACCTGATGAGATGGTCTTCGTGCCCACTGATTACAACCCCTTCGAGACCGCCATTGGCAGATCCCGTCGGGCCGTGTATACCTTCCTCGTCAGGACCACCGCGACCCGCCTCTTGTGACGAGCCTTCAAGGTATTGGGAACTTGTCACGACTGATGTAATACCAGTCGCTGGAGTGCCGTCATATGACTCATTGCTAGCCATACCAATCAATTCCTCACCGGTCCTCGTGTCGTACACCAATATAGATGCGTCGGAGAATGAGACAACAAAGTTCTCTCCAGTGGGTGACAGCGGGCTGATACAAGTAGGTGAAGGATGCGTGTCGCGCTCGATAGTATGTATCAACGTGTGATGGAATGGTGTCGTAGTAGCAATGCTGGGCTGCGGTGAGGATGGGTGATGCGAGCCAGATGTGACGGAATGTCTTCGGCTACCACCAACACCACGTCGAGATCCCGTCTGCGGTGAGACCAGCTGAGGCGGTGCACTTACAGCCCAGATTTTTATAGTGCCGTCAGCAGACCCAGAAGCAAGTATGACGCGGTCCGGTCCTCCATACTTGCTACTATCCGCGCCAAAGAGATTAGCACAGTTGGTCGGAAGAACGCATACAGTCCAGACAGCATCTGTGTGCCCTTCCAGGGTGGCCTTGGGATCGACTCGGCCTCGTTCCCATACGCGGATCGTAGCGTCTTGACCACCAGAGAATATCCAGCCATCGCCAGAGACTCTTCCGCCCGTAGCGAAATGAGCAGAAGCGGGGCAGGCTGCCAATGATGTCACAGTGCCTTCATGTCCTCGATGTGACCAGAACGGCTGGATGTCGAGATCATTGTTCATGCTGTGCTGGTTTGCGTAACTTGCGGGGATCATCCATCTCTTGATCATGCCATCGTCTCCTGCGGTACAGATCTCGGGTTCACTAGGACTGCCGCCCCCGGTGAAAATGACGGACCGCACTACATCAAGGTGACCGCGGAGTGCGAATCGAACTTTGAAACTTTGCGGGTCGTTCTTTGCTGCTGACTGAGCTACGGCTTGCTGTGCTTTCTGGTCGTTGCTCAATCGCCTAACATGGTCTTTGCTGGCCCTCTTGACTGGTCGTGGTGGTGATTTTGCTGGGATGCTATCCGCTGATGGAAACTCCTCGGTGTCAGGCCGCCTTGGTGGGCCATCCTGAGCTGTTTCCGATGCCGGGTCGAAGATCCAGTCATCTGTATCCTTGTCTTGGTTGGCAGCCTGGCTTGCATCCGAGGCGTCATCTCCACGTATCGGTATTTGACGGCCTTCGTTGTCGAAAGCATGAGTGACCTTTTCAACCTGCTCTTCGGGCACCGAGGAGAAGTGCTGCTGGTTCTGGACCTGGCGTTGATGTCCAGCGAGAAGCTCCTGAGCCATGGCAGCGTTGGACGGAAGTGGTTGTTGCTGTGAAGGCTCTCGTGCCATCTGCGGTGCGTGGTGGATTTGGTGCTGGTTGGCCAAGCTCTGTAGTTCGGAGGGGACTGGTACGTTGGGAGGCTGGTGGGTAGGCATCGATGTGCCTGGCATGGTTGGGAGTTGCGACTGCAGCCTCTGGCGATGTTGTTGGAGGTAGATATCTTCCATCGAGGCCTCGCCATGGTTCATGTAGCCGTTGCCGTTTGCGAGCGGCTGCATGTTCTGCTGTTGTTGCGGGGCTTGCGGGGGTGGTGTAAGGAGGTACGTGATCTCTTCGACGCATTTCGTGAGGTAGAGCTTCGACTTCTCTCGTAGATTCTCGCGGTCGGCCTCTGCACGGTCGAGGAACTCCGAGTCAACGTCGAGGAAGGAGTTGTGTTTCTTGTTTTGAGCTTCACCAGGTTAGTAAGCGCCCGAAATGTAATCTAGCAGTAACGTATACGCACGCTTCGTCGAGTTCCTGCCACTCTTCTTGCCCTTGGGGTCATTCTTGTCGTCTGTTGTGGCCTCGGCGTCACCTCCTGCTGCCTCGCTCTTCTTCTTCCTCTCGTTGGTGAGGGCCTGTTCCAGCATGCGAATGTGCTTGTTCAGCTGGTCGTTGAGCTTCTTCGCACTCCGCACCTCGCCCTCCTGTTTTGCAATCTTGGCCTTCATCTCGGCGCGCTCGATGTCCCAGGCATTCCGTGCACGCTCGTGGTTGTGCCATTCCAGCTGTAGAAATCGCATCACACCTGTGAGGGGGTCAGCCTGCCAGTCTCCCCGCCAGCTCTACGGCATGTCCAGGGGAAGCGCATACCCTGCAATGTGTACTCTGTGCCGGCGGGCGCATTGCCGTCACCCCCTCCGTTGGCACCGCCGCCGTTCATGGCCGAGGGCGACTGCCAGGCCATGACAGAGGTATGCTAGAGCGTCGTCGCGGCGATCGTTGGTGCGTAGAGAGCGTCCAGTGCGGGTTGGCATGCGGCGTCGGGGGTCGGCAACAGCGCGGTCGACGTGTCGGAATCTGGCTCCAGAGCTCGGACCCTGGGGCACCGGACACAGGCAGAGACGCGGATAGTGATTGAGGCTGTAAAAAGACGGGCAGTGGGGATTATGCGCACGCGCAGTAGCTGGTCTCGTCACGGCTGCGGCAGCATCTACACATGTTGTCGCACAGGGGAGGGAGCCATGCAGACGTAGCGCTAGGGCGGGACCTTGACGCACGGGCCATCACGACTGGATGCGGGAGCAGTGAGCAACTGTCCATCACTTTGCTACTCCAACCACTTTTGCGGTGCACACTTGAAACTATCTCAAGCTTACCCGTAGCGACCACGGTATCTTGGGATCAGACTTAGACCTACAGCCTTCGCGCGGAGGTGGGCTGAGATTTCATATCGCTTCACACCTTGGAAGCCATACGTACAAGCGATGAGCTCATATTCCTGTCAAACTCACCATCAGTACTGACGAGCAGCCACTGGGTAGGGACCTGGCCTATGATACCTTCACTGTAAGTAATTCCTCCGTCTTGTCTTCTCAACCGTCATCTTCTCCGTCTTCACTCTTGCTACGTCACTGCCTCCCAATCTTGTCGGCAATACCACTTGCTGCCAGTCGACCGAGCCCGTGTCGCCTGACAGATCGTCCTTTTCAAACATTCAAGCGAATCGTGTACACTCTGGTCAGGTCGTTGGATGGTTATCTCAAAGCCGTAATAGATCACTGCCGCCCCTCATGGCGCCGTGCTTCCTGATCACACTTCGGATTCTGCGACATTTTACTGATGTTTATCACAGATTTAATATCTCCTAAGCATTCTCCACATCCTGTATTATCGTACATACTTTCACTTCCAGATCTTGTAGTCGAAAAGCCGCCGCTTTGCCTGAGCGCACGACCATTGACTAGGCGGCCAAGAACGGTAGTATGTTCAATTTCCATCATGTCTTACTCTTAGGTTCAAGCATCAGTCACTCAGACATCATACTCGGCAACTATTCCTCGGCACCCTCGTTGAGTGGCAACGACACAGCTACGTCTGGTGCACCCGCCCCCACCACCTTACCGTCCAGCATTCCATGAGGCATCGAAAATGCGACAAAAACATTAGATCAGAGTAACTAGTATCTCACAGTATTACTGAAGATCTTCATGCACGCCGTCGCACGGTCGGGGACTGGACTGGTGCCTTACCTTGTACATGCCAAGTGGAGCCTTCCCGATTGGTACAAGAACGTAACCTTGTCACAACAGTAGAACCTCTTCCCAGCAAGACCTGACCACATTCACCCCACCTCTCGCCAAACACCACCACCTCGAATCCGCTTCGAAACCCCGGCATCACGGTCGCGCATCTTTATTGATTCTATCGACACCGACATTAAGCCCGAATAAATCACCCGAGATGGCTGGCGGTGGTAAAGGTACGCGCTGACTTTGCGTCGCGCTCCGAAGGGCCTCGAGAGCTAACAGGATGCGCAGGAAAGACAGGTGGCAAGACAGGAGGAAAGGGCGATGCGCAAGTCAAGACTCCCAAGTCGCACTCCGCCAAAGCCGGTCTTCAGGTGAGTAGCTGCCCAATACGCGTCATCACCATTGCACCCCGCGCAATGCTTCGCGTGCAGCACAAAGAAACCACGCGCTAACGTGCCGTCTTCACCACAGTTCCCTTGCGGTCGCATAAAGCGCCATCTCCGAAACCTCACGCGACAGAAGACGCGCATCGGCGCCAAAGCCAGCATCTACCTTACCGCCGTTCTCGAATACTTGACCGCCGAAGTTCTCGAACTCGCAGGCAACGCTGCCAAGGATCTGAAGGTCAAGCGCATCACGCCACGCCATCTCCAGCTCGCCATTAGAGGTGACGAGGAACTCGACACACTCATCCGCGCTACCATTGCTTTCGGAGGTGTTCTGCCGCACATCAACCGCGCATTGCTACTCAAGGTGGAGCAAAAGAAGAAGGGCGGTGCCGCAAAGGCTGGCGAGGTATAGGTGGCTGGTTCTCTGGGCAGTACGCGCACGCGCCATCATCGTCGCAAGCCGGACCATTTCGCAAGCCAACTATGGCCTAACAAGCGGTCAAACGTCTGTCACATGTATGGATAAGCACGCTCTTTGTTTGGCTTTACTACACATTCTGCCGTCCTCTTGACGGGGACAGCTCATCTTTCTGCTGAAGTACAGGATGTTAGGATATGGTGTTAACTCTCTTTAGTCAGGCGCGAGAGGATCGGTGTTGAGGTCATGGATTTCATTTGTCCTTTGCGGTATGTAGCAACACTCAATTGATGCCAGTGAGCGACAAGAAAAGCCCATCGCATTCTCCGATCGAACGGTACACGATTTGCACCCAAGACGCGTTCGCGCATATCGCATAGCTACGTCCTCTGGTTCAACAGAAACGAAGCGCAATGCTCAAACGCGCATAGCACGTGTGCATGTGTGTTGAATTGATGATCAGACACGCGCTGTGGTGTTTGCGGATTCGGCTTGCGCGACAATCACGAGTATCTCGATTCCGAGTTTGGTCACACAAATGTATACTCCCGTCTCTCAAACCACACATGACGCGGAGGAAGCTGTATGCTTGTAAGGCAACTACAGGGTATACCAATGTCAGCATAACATTTATCCCATTAAACATTCAATCTTTCTTCATCTCCAAACTATCACAATCTATCATTACCATCCCTCCACAACTACCCATCGTCAACATGTTTGGATCTCCCTTCAGCCGCGACTACTCTCGCCGCACCCCCATGCCCTCTGCATACGTCTACCCAAGCTATTCAGCCCCAAACCAGTCTGCTTACCACCCTCAACATACATACGACGCACCTCGCCAGCACCGCCATACACCGCGTCAACATCCCCAACCACAGTACCGCTCCCCTCACCCCCAACAAGGCCGTTTTTCTAGACGCCCCTCACACTACTCCGACATCTCTCCCAGCCCCTCCGAACATGGCACCCGAGATGAAATACGCCCATACTACATGATGCCATCCGGCGACCCCCACGCAAACATTCCACCTCAGTTTCGCCGCCAGAGAAACCATAGCCAACCTCCTCCTTCCCCCTCCCCGCCACCCCCCTCAACAAACACAACCTCACTATTCCACCCTTTCCACGCCAGAGTCACGCCCAGGGCGGCGCAGAAATTGGGTAAAGATGAGATACTCATCTTACCGCCCTTGCTTACGCGTCTGCGCGTGCAGATGAGAAGTAGTCATGGGACTGAAACCTTGCGTGTGAATGTAGCAGGAGATATGCCGTTTCGCGATGTTGTTAAGCAGCTTTTGCCGGAGTCGAATTGGAGTGACGGGACTATGGTGTATGTCAAGATGAGGGGCGCGTGGCTGGAACCCGGGTGCGCTCGCGTGAGTCACATCATGGAGCAAGGAAGGTTTGTGTTGAATGAGAGGGGAGAGGTGGATGTTAAAATTGAGATTGGGGGTGGTGGAAGGGGGGGAATACGAGATGTGTAAAAAGAAGTTTGTTTGCGCTTCAAATGGCTTTGGGCGTAGAGAGAACAACAGGCAATGATTAAGGACAAGTCGAAATTATGAAAGGTAGTTGAACAAAATGCTAGTACATCCATTCGCTCCACATACTCCACCACCCCAGCCGGACCGCAGGATCCGCACTGCTTCGATCCGAAAACGCCAAACATCGTTCTAAGATTCTGAATAGTATTGGTAAGATGCTCTAAGGCATGAGAGGAACAAAAAAGTTGACCTTGAGAAAGAGAACCTCCCTAGGGACCCAAAGGCGAAGTGAAAGAAAAAGGACATTCGTTCGTATACAATACAATGCGACAATGCCATGAGAAAACACAGGAACGAGAGTCATTTGCCTTCATGCCCGTTGTTGTCGTTGAAAAATTTGGCCTACGACTACTCTCCTATGACTTCAGGCTGTCCTGCATGCTGCGGCTGCTAGCACTGAGCGGGATGTTGGTTGTAGGGAGGACGGTCTTGGGCTTGCTGTTTTGGCGGACCTTGGCGAGGGCGTAGACGAGACCACTGACGAAGCCGACGAAGATGGCGGAGCAGCTGCCGAAGGTGACGGGCGCATCGAAGAATACGAGGCCGCTGAGCGCGATGGGCAGCTTGTTCAGAGCACCGACCATGGAGTAGGTTGTCGAAGAGGTGACACGGACGGCCCAGGCGGATGTGTAGGAGATGAAGACGGTGGAAAGACCAGAGATGATCATGACCATGATGACGGTGTTGCGCTGTTCGACGGGGAAGTTCTTTGCGACGTTGGCGGAGGACCAGTCTTCGACGAGGATGGAGGCGACGAGCAGGATTGGGATGGTGAGGAGGTTGTTGTAGTACATGGCTGGTTGAAATTAGCAATTGCTCCATTTGGTTCCGGCGTTGGATAAACTTACTGTCAAAGTCCTTGAAGTTGGTGAGCTTGATGCGCTTGCGCATGCACAGAACGTAGGTTGCCGAGCAAAAGCAGTTGAACATCATCCAGAGGTATCCGGCGTGCAGAGTCGACATGGCCTCGGTGGTCTTCTCTGCAGCGTGACCCATGCTCGACAAGGCGTGCTGGATGTCTGCCCAGGCCGCAATGACGGAACTGAGGACCATCAGTCCGAAAGAGAAGAGCGCCATTGGTGTAACAGCACCACCGAACCAGAGCACCTCTCCGTATGCGATCAGGATGATGGTCAAGTTCTTGAAGATGGTGTAGACGGGAATCGAAAGGTACTTGAGCGCCCAGGTACTGGTGTAGATCATGCCGATGAGGAGGACGGAGATGGGGAACCCTGGCGATGTTAGCATTTTTCCGTATTGTCGATGGTAGATTGGACCTACACTTCTTCGCCTCATCGCTGTTGAAGTCGCGGTAGTTGATAATACCAAGGGCTTTACATATCGAAATGGCTGCTACA